AATGAACACTCAAGTCCATAAACAGGACAAACAAAATAAGAGGAAAAAAATATTCATAATTGAAACAGTTAAAAAAATCTATTCTAATGATACAATGGACTGTGAACTTACTTTGTATTAATTAAACTCAAGGTAATGGCATTTTCTATATTGAAATGAATAACCAGTGATCTGGAAATTCATTTAGACCATTAGGTTAATTACAGAAACTGATGGAAGTTTTATCAGACAATTACAATTAAAGAACATGAACAATGTGGGACAGATTTATAAGCATTTGTGCCACCTCAATCATTTTTGCTGAATTCCAGCCCTATTTCTTATAAAATTGTAATAAATACATCAATTAGAAAATGGGCCATCAACTTCATTTGCCCTTGAGTATGATAAAATAAAATAAATATCTGATATCTGCATTTTTATATTTTTTTCTTCTTTTAATTCTACTGTTTTATTGCAATATGAAATATTTATTTATTTCTAATAAAAAATGAAAATGTGTGGAAGAAGAGCATGCGTATTTTGAGGCTGATGAGCATGCTTACTGGAACTGACAATGAAACAACTCTAACATTTAGAAAACGTAACACAAAATTGACATTACTTTAAAATGTACTCCTTGAAGTCAAGGCAACATTCTCTTTTATGGGCATGCAAAGCATTTGGGAAATAAAGGCACTCGTATGCGCAGCATTCCAAACAAATGCACATAGCAATTTATTATTTTACCATATGTAGCTATTCAGTGTAGCAAACTATCCTTTTAATACATGCTCAGAAAAATCTACTAGTGGTTACATACCTCATCACTCAAGCATCTTAATTTTTACTTGGGGCTAAAATAAAGCCTAGAAGTTACAAAGATCCAAGTTCTGATTTAGAGACTGAAGTATATTTAGGTGCCTTTGAACTTCTATTAAAATTTGTAATCCCTCTGCCATTGCCTTCCACGGGACCTGAATACATACAACTACACATTTTTGAGAGATGTGATGCCCAGCTTTAGGCCGGCTTCCTCACCACACCAGCCCGTGCTCAGTGAGCCCGAGCAGGTTGATTAGCTACTCCAGAGCACAAAGAAGTTTGCTACTGGCAAACATCTCTTTTTCCATCCCCTGCCAGGAAAGGGCAGGGGAGGTTATCAAGAAAACATAGCCAGGCCCTTTCTTCACAGAGGCACACTGTGGGGAGACAGGAGACAACAGACGAAACTTGAAAGAAGAGAGGTTTCCACTGCTGGGACATTCAAGCATTGGAACAGATGACCCAGAAAGGTTATGCAGCCTCTGTCCTCAGAGATGCCCTGTGCAACCCGGTCCTTCCAACCTGAATTATCCTGTGATTTCACGACTTCGTGTCTTCCTTCTTTCCCATGTTTTGGCTCTCATTAACTCCTATCTCACTGACATTTTCAGGCACCACTACGTTATAGAAAAATATGGAAAACGGGCACTAAACAGTTTTTAAAAGTCCTTGCATAAATTCAGGTTAGTAATTTTGCCTTTTTTAACCATACATACCCAGCTATATTACTGTCCTTTGTAGAACAGTGGTACAGACATTCAGTGACAGAACCTTTTTTTCTTCTTTTGAATTTTCCTTTTCTTCTGCAGGGCTTTAATATTCCCATAGATACTATTCTCAAGTGGCATCTATTTGGAGAAGTTCCAAAATTTTTCTTGATACATTTCTTAATTAAAAATAGGTACAAATTTCTTCATGATTAAAAAAATTCCTGTGAAACCAACTAGTCTAAAGTAGCAGGGGCAAAAAGAGACTGTCAGTTACGTGCTGCCAAACTCTTCGATTTACTAAGTTTCAGTGAGATATCACGGGCCTTCGGTAAGCTTCCCGTGAATGCTTACTTACTCCTGGGGACTTGGTGTACTCTAACCTTTACTTCCTGGATATGACTCTTTCTAATACTTGTCTGTGTTCTGCATTAGGATAATGATGATAGATTTAACTGAAATCAGTTTTATCAGTTCTGTCCTCGAGATGCCAATGCTATAGGAGTCTACAGCAGCCCAGATGAGCCCATGAGCTCCTTCAGTCTGCTTCTGTCAGTAAGGCAAAATCTGTCCCACCAAGGGATGTGAACACATTTGCATGCTGAAACTATGCTTTCTATATAACAAATTATCTATTCCCAGAATAGATGTGCAAATGAAAAACTGATCCAGGTCCCATCTTCTCCTTCAGCATAAGAGAACAGATGAGGCATGAGAGACTATTGCTACTGATTTTTTCCACTGCTTGCAGAAGAAACAGCTCATTTCTTTCTGTATTATGCAAAGGGGCAGAAGTGATGGGAGGAAGCAGAGCCATGTTTCCATCTCCTGACATATTCAGAGGTGTAACTAATCACTGTACTGGGAAATGTACAATGTGGTACAAAAAAATATATCCTGGGGAAATACAACATCAGAAGAGAAAGAGTAGCTTCAAGAAATCCACTCTTCTTTCTGGCTAGCCAAAACAATGGGGTAAAGTGTTCAGGGTCATCAAAGACTACAAGTGACCAACACAACTGAAAGTCAAAAAGTTAAGTGAGAAATAAAGTTAGCCAAATTAAGAAAAATATATTTTACAAGCATTTTTCAGTCCTTCATTCTTTACAGAATATAACTTGGGAGCAAAATACAAACAATCAATTTAAAATAAACATTTCTAAAAGTGGGGACCATCCTCTTCCAAATATCTGAAAATTCCTAAATGCCATTAGCATTTAATGAACTCCACACCTCTCACATGGCTTTAAAAATCACATCCGACTCTTTCCCTTCTGTTAAAACAATTACAAATTTAAAACCTTTTCATTCTTACATTGTAAGCTGTTCTGAAATATTACACAGATACAATACTGGCAGTAACAGAATAAATGATTAACAAATCATTCAAAGATGATGGCTGCAATATTGTTGTCTACATGGAATAACAATAGTAAAAGTATTAGTCTCCTAGACATTAATGTTGACTTATCAATTATTGTTGCAATGTTACAGATGTGCACAAAAATTGGAGTACAGAAAGAAGATCTTTAAAATAATGAAAGAAAGAAAATGAAACAAAACTGAGGCTTCATTTCCATTCATTTAGTAGAATTTCCTATAGAAAGGGAACTATATTACCTGTTTACTGAAAGTTTTGTAGTACGGAGAAATAAAAAAACTAATTACAATCATTAGTAATTGTAGTAATTTTGTATTATTAGGAGTTGTGATCCCGTGGGGGAAACGAGATTTTGGCAATATGAAATACTACACATAATAAAAGAAAAATCATGAGTTGCAGACACACAAATTCAGCAAAAGTGTAATAATCTCTACTGCAAGGGCTACTATTATGAAACTTTGTATTACACACTGCCCAGTGGGAGGCAGATAGGCAAAGGCTGTTTACTTATGTATTTGGCATAATTGAAAACAAACAGGTGTTCGTTGGGATATCATCATTCAAGGAGCACCACTGTAAAATAAGATTTTTTAGAAGGATTGACTCATGAGACATAATGGAAACAGTGAAGTATAGAGCTTAGCTAGCTATACAATGACTATCTAGGGATTTAACAGTAGTGCAAGTACTGTACGATGTAAACAGCAACCCCAGAAATAAATTTCCTAGGATAGAACTCATTGAGACAATAGAAGCAACAGGGTAAACTTAATAAAGGCTTTATTTAGAGTAATTTCCAGAAAATAACTGCCCTCCCTCTTGAAAAGAGGTTCCCTAACAGTGAGATGAATTAAATGTCTGGATAATTTTACAGGAAAGAAATTTTAGACAAAGGTTGATATTTCAGTCAAAAGACTAGTATTTTGGTCAAAAAGGAATAATGCACTGAAAACATATTATAGGGAACATTGATTTAGACAGTAAGTATTTCATCTCTATGTTACTACAAGGATAAAGAAAAAACCTCACTGCTTTGGAAAGGTGACATAGCACAAAATATTCTTGGAGCATCTGGAAGCAAATGCACATTTACTGACAATTTCAGTTCCAATTTAAAATGCTTCATATAATTTATTAGTTCTCTATGTATTTGTAGACTCCTGATTTGAGAGTAGATCCCATACTTATACTGTAAAAGCAGCAGCTCTAAGGATGCTATTCATAGCCTTTGACATAAGAGGGTTACATGACCATAGAGTTGATCACTATGGAACTCTCTTGTCCTCATTTCTGGTTTTAATTAAAGAAATCAATTATTTTTGTAGCCTAGATAAGCTTTGAAAGAGCAGAATTGCACTCTAGATTGAATACAATCTTCATAAAGAGCATATCTGATAATATTGTTAAATCAGACAACATAAAATATTTTCTTTACAGAAAGCTGCTAGGAACACAAAGAAATGCTGCTGTCCACACTAATTCAGCAAGCAACAATTGTTACTATTTCATTTAGCTAGAGGCTTCTTCATCTGACTAGATTTCAGAATGAGCGTCAGTGGTACCACCAATACGATCTCAACACTAAGGATCTATTCGTTCAGCTTGCTTTTACTGTTTTTATTAGGGCAGCTTTTTATAATTCAAAATACCCACTTGCACAGTCTTTTTCCGTTTGTAAAAAAAGACTTCATATCTACTTTATTCCTGACACGATCAAATGGTGGAATGATATGAGACTTTTTGTTTATTAAATCAAAGTTGTAACCAGGAAAGAAAAAGAAACACAACTTCACCTTCTACACAAAATGCAGAGTGCACAACAGTACTGGATTCCAAAAAATGTCAGCGTTACGGTGGAGTTTTTCACCATTTCTATAGAACAGTGAAATAGAGGCCATCTTCTTTTTTCTTTTTTTTTAAATATACTTTTAGAATAAAGATGGAACTAAGACACTAAATTATCTGTTAACATTACTTACACATTTATAAATACCACATTTACAAGAGTTTTGGGGAAAATGTACAGTTTTGGGGGCTTAATTCACATTTATGTGCTTTTGTCACAAAACAAAACAAAACAAAACAGAGCCATAACACTAGCTTACTTGTGGATGTGTATACTAGTGAACTGGGGGCACTGTACACGGGAGATCCCTCCTGGTTTGCCTGGCACAGCAGCACCCTGCCTACAAGAAAGAGAGAGAGAGTGGTATCTGGTTTTGGAACACTCAAACTAAACCTCAGTTTTTATCTCAAAACAGTAATAAAACTCATAAGCAGAACAGTGCAGTGACACAGAGGCACCTTCTGTTCTTTGACTTCAAAGCAGAAAGAGCCCCAGTAAACATGTACAATTTTACACTTGAAAAGGCAAAACCACAGACATCCCCCAAAATACAGAGTCTTTTGGCATCACATGGGGAAGCTGGTGCACGCCCTGAGCGTTTGCAGCGCACACCAGCCCCTCGCCAGTTGCCCTCTCTCCCTCTGTCTCTCTAAAAGAAGCTGCCCCATCAGCTCTGCTGCTAATGGGAGTGAAAAACCCAGTCCCACCACCCAGATACTGACTTCTCATCTCCCTAACTTTGGCTGAGGAGCTACTCAAGCAAACACAGCACATAAATCAGACCACAAAGCTCTCATATAAAACTGTGAGGCCAGGTGTGATCTTGGTTCTATCACATTAACAGTGGTGCAAGTGAAATTGAAATGTTACTAATACATACAAAGATTTCAGTATTCTTTTCTCAAATGAGAAATATATAAAAATAAGCTACTTTCCAGTATATAAGCTGGATTCAGGATTAAGAACAAAATAAATAAATAGAAGAATAAAATAAAAGAGATAAAGCCCTATTTTTAAAGAAAATAGTAAAAGTAATAACCAAATCAATTTAAAACAGCACTTTTGCAATGCATGTTCATCTTCAACAAATTACAGAAGTTGAGTCTTATTTCCTGGTATTGTTTAAATGGACTTAAATAATACACCTTACTAATTCAAATGCTTTCTTAAAATTATATTTTTGCAGTCTTAACTGAATACAGATTGAACATTGATTAGAAGTAGAAACAACTATACTTTCACAAATTCCACACTTACGGAATACAGCCCACCAGGATGTGACACATCTGTTTTGCAGATATATGTGTATATATTCGTGTACACACACAAAATTATATATATATATACACACATACGTACATACACACTGACATACTCCAAGTGGTCAGGATTTGTGAATCACACAATTTCAAAAATTTTGCATTTACATTAAGATTCGTGAGACACTTTTTGTGCATCGAATTATAAGCCATGTAACTCAACAGAGTGGAGTCAAATATATTTGGAAGCATAAGATTAATTACAAATGGTAAACATGTTTTCCATACAGTATTACAAGAGCAATTCTCAACTTACATTCAGCTACTAGAGTTCTTTCAAAAATTTAAAAAGAAATTTCTGTCATTAACCAGTTCTGATTATTGCTTGCAGCTGTCAGTTTAAGTAGAAATACAGGAAATAGTGAGGGAAAATAATACTTGTAATTTCTGCAATTTAGTTAAGACCGTGAGCATTGAAAGTCTCATGAAACATTAGGCTTCTAACTTTCCCAGAAAACAGCATACCCTTAACTAACAGAATTTGGAGATGCTTGCTTTTTTCCAGCAATCCACTACTAATGTGAAAGATCAACCTAGACAGGCTGGAGACGTAGGCCTGTTCCAAACTCATGAAGTTCAACAAGGCCAAGGGGAAGGTCCTGCACATGGGTCAGGGCAATCCCAGTACAAGACAGACTGGGCAGAGAATGGATCGAGACCCCTGAGGACGACTTGGGGTACTGGTGGATGAAAA